ACAGGTTCCATGCCCTACACATAGTATTGCTTGTCCTGGATGACATTCCCATACAAAATTTTTCACTTTTAGACATTTTGTCACCTATCGAGTCAGACCTCAGTTTTATTGTTTATGTAAGAACCTGTGGTGGCTGGGAGGTACAAGTTCACTGCAAAGACATTAAAGTACTTTAAACCTTAACAGGACGTAAGGGTAGCAAACACAAAAATTAGGCATACACACAAAAAACATGCATACAGTATGGAAAGCTTAAAAAAAAGAAATTCTGCAATAACAGAAATTAGAGAGAAGCAAAGTGTTGGTCACATAACGTCGCCTCCCTGCACTGTGTTTGTGCTGTCTTTCTCGCAGCCACAACAAATCCCATGATGATTTGCGAGGAAAACTCTTGCAAAGCACTCTAGGATATATCTGCTCATCTAGTGACTATGGATGATCACTTTTCAAGGTGCATTCTGGGAAATGTCAAGTTCACTACTTTTTCATCCACTATATAGTGGATACAACACCATAAAACAGTGGTTCCCAAAGTGTGGGGCGCGCCCCCTAGGGGGGGCGCAATGCCATTGCAGGGGGGGCGCGGGAAGCGGTATGGATGAATGAAGAAAAAAAAAAAAAAAAAAAAAAAAAAACAGCGCCTGCTTGACTGAGCATAATGGACAGTTGTGACACTGCAACCCAGATTTGAGAAGATCTACAGCAAAAAGCAGGCTCACTACAGCCACTGAAAAGATGGGAGGATTAAAGTACAAAGAAAAAACTCTCAGGGAGCTGTTCAATGTTTTCACTCCATTTTGCACAGAGGCTTTTTTAATGTATAGATTATAGCAAAGTTAAATATTGTTACAAATAAAAAAAAAATTAATGTTTAAAATAACACAGACAACAAAGAATCCTCTTCTAATCTACAGTATAGAACTATTAAAAAAACACAAGTGTTCCTACAGATGGTGTATAGTTTGTTTTGTTGCAACCTGAAGTGTGAAATAAACTTCAGTGGAGTTTGAAAAATAAAATATGTGTATAGATTTATTATATCTGGTTGAACAGTGTGTGTGACCACTTTAAATTATTTTTTTTTTGGTGGGGGGGGGGGGGGGGGGGGCGTGGAAATTTTATTGTAATCCAAAGGGGGGCCCAGAAGAAAATCTTTGGGAACCACTGCCATAAAATGTTGTTACAAGTATAAAATGCCTTATATAAGGATTAGGGTGGATGTTCAGACACAGCCCTAGTTTCAGCAAGAATTTAGTTTGAGAAAAAAAACGTGAAAAGAAAAGTATGGTTTAATTTGACTAGAGCGATTTTCTCTCCATGTTTGCTGTGTCCCATGCACGGTTTGTTGCAAACAGCTTATGGGGCTTGGTAGTGGATAACCTCTAAAATGGCTTTTGAGCACACCAAAATGTTTCCCACCTAGGCTGTGAATTTCTGCACCTACTCAAATTCAACATGCTTCTTGATGGTTCTCTGATCATTGTTTTCATTACCTGGCTTAACATATTTGATCTTAACTTTCTCCTTCTGAATGCAGACAAAACAGAAGTTATAGTCGTTGACTATAACTTCTGGAGTCTTTGACAAATAAGCTGAGTACTTCATTTGGATGGGATTAAACTGATTTCAGATAAAAAACAAAAAATCTTGGTGTTGTTTTTGATCCGGACCTGTCATTTAAATCCCATATCAAAGAGGTTTCTAGAATTTCCTTCTTTCATCTGCGGAATATTGCAAAAATGCGAAATATCCTGTTCAGGGTTGATGCTGAGAAACTAGTCCATGCATTTGTTACTTACAGTAGAGGCTGGACTATCGCAATTCTTTACTATCAGGAAGTCCACAAACTGTAGTTAAAAGTCTTCAGCTGATCCAAAATGCTGCAGATAGAGTTCTGATAAAAATTAAAAGGAGATCATATCTCTCCTATCCTAGCTTCTCTTCATTGGCATCCTGTTAAAACTAGAATAGAATTTAAAATCCTCCTTCTCAGATATAAAACCTTAAAGGAGAAGTTCGGTTTTTTACACTTTAAGCCCATTTTCTGTAGTGTCCAGGATGAAATCGAATGATCGACACCAAAAGTTTGACAATTGCTCCTGTCTCTGCTTTTTGGCTCATTAAGAATCCACCCCTGGCTGCTTCATAATGGCTTGCATAGAGCATGTCCGATAATGTCCTTAAAACAACCTTAAACGTTCTTTTTTTTTAAATATGCTACTCACCGGTTCGTCAGCGCTGTTCAATGACGTTCCAAAAAAAGTTTCGTAAAGAAAAAACGTTCCTGTAGTGTTTCATTTAGCATTTTGTAAATCCCATTGAGTTCTGTAGGAATAGTCAATATTCCCCTGCCACCGGAAACGGAAATGGGGCCTGTTTACACAGTTGTAGTCTTTTCGCTTCACTCTGTGTACTCCGACGTCGAGGTGCTAACGTCTCTGTTAAACACTTTAAAAAACTCTGAAAATGGAATACGAAAGGTGGATTCTTGATTCTCGACGTCGGAGTACACAGAGTGAAGCGAAAAGACTACAACTGTGTAAACAGACCCCATTTCCGTTTCCGGTGGCAGGGGAATATTGACTATTCCTACAGAACTCAATGGGATTTACAAAATGCTAAATAAAACACTACAGGAACGTTTTTTCTTTACGAAACTTTTTTTGGAACGTCATTGAACAGCGCTGATGACCCGGTGAGTAGCATATTTTAAAAAAAGAACGTTTAAGGTTGTTTTAAGGACATTATCGGACATGCTCTATGCAAGCCATTCTAAAGCAGCCAGGGGGTGATTCTAAATGAGCCAAAAAGCAGAGACAGGAGCAATTGTCAAACTTTTGGTGTCGATCATTCGATTTCATCCTGGACACTACAGAAAATGGGCTTAAAGTGTAAAAAACCGAACTTCTCCTTTAAATAGCCAAGCTCCATCTGATATCAGAGATCTGATTGTTCCTTATGTTTCTAACAGAGCACTTTGCTCTCAATCTGCAGGTTTACTAGTGGTTCCTAGAATTTCTAAAAGTAGAATGGGAGGCAGATCTTTTAGTTATCAGGCTCCTCTCCTGTGGAACCAACTACCAATTTTAGTCCAGGAGGCAGACACCCTGTCTACTTTAAGGCTAGGCTTAAAACTTTCCTTTTTGATAAAGCTTATAGTTAGGGTGGCTCAGGTTATCCTGAGCTATCTCTATAGTTATGCTGCTATAGGCTTAGACTGCTGGAGGACATAGGGACCCCTTTTTCATCATTCTGCTTCATTCTCTCTCTATTCTCCTATTCTCCTATTCTGCAGAATCTGTTAGTTCAATCTTTAACGTTCTGCTCTCTCTGCTTTTCCTCATAGTAGCTTTGCCTCGTCTGTTCCTGTTTGGCTGTGACTCCATCCTGGAAAGAAACATCAGCTGTGCTGCTTCCATCAACACCCTTGTTTATAGATGTTGGAGATCTGCCTGTTTTCCAGTGTGGTCCTGTTTCTCTGACCGTGACTGAGTGGATGTGCTCTCTTCGTCCTCTGGCATGGGAGCTGGCTCGGAGCTCGTCTGCCTGGCTGTGTGTTTCCTGGACGGAATCATTGAGTCGATGCAATCAACTGGTTTTCCTTAGATAGAAAACTTTGAATCAATTTGACTGTATGATCTGGTGAACTGTAAAGTGACATGTGTTGACACGTGTTGTGAATTGGTTTCTATATAAATAAACTGAACTGAAATTGAATTGAATGGCTTGGTTAAAATTGGTTTGCAAGTGTTCCAAAGTTTTTCAATTCATGATTGTAGAATTTAGGAACAGCCTCATGAACAGAAGTTTACAAATGCATCAAACCCTTTGACCTTCAGTGTAACACCAGTGATTCAAATAATCATAGCAGGAGTTTATGTAAAATACCATTTAAGGTCTATAGCCTAGTAAGGTATATTTTCTTTTGTTCAGTTGTCAGGGCTGTTTTTCAAAAATCACAATTAAACACCAAAATATTAAGTAGGCTATTGCTTTAAAAAGATAATAGAATTTAAAGTCCTCCCTCTTACATATAAAGCCCTAAATAACCAAGTTCCATCTTATATCAGAGATCTGATCATTCCTTGTGTTCCTAACAGAGCATTTCAATCTCAAACTGCAGGTTTACTAGTGGTTCCTAGAATTTCTAAAATTAGAATGGGAGGAAGATCTTTTAGTTATAAGGCTCTTTACTTCTAGAACCAACTACAGTATGTTTTTGATCCAGGATGACTAAAAAGTGGGCACCCCGTCTACTTTTAAGGCTAGGCTTAACACTTTTCCTTTGATCAAGCTTATAGTTAGAGTGATCAGGTTATCCTGAGCTATATCCATAGTTATGCTGATATAGGCTTAATCTGCTGGAGGACATAAGGACTAATTTTCATTATTCTGCTTCATTCTATCTCTATTCTCTCATTCAGCATCACTGGTGATAGTTCAACCCCTAACTTTATGTGTTCTCTGCTTTTTCCCGCTATAGTAGCTTCAACCACTCTGTTTGTTTTTCTGTGACTCCAATCTGGAGAGAAATATTAGCTGTGCTGCTGCCATCAATACCTTGGATCACTGATGATAGAATTTGGCCTGGTTTTCAGTGTTTAGTCCCTATCTTCCTTGGATATAGCTATAGGCTCAGCCTTTACTGTGGCTACCTTTATGTGATCAGACTTCATCTTCTCAACTGATTCTTTGCCAGATATAAACACCTATGGAGCTAGTTTACCATTAGCTTTTCTAACATAGAAATTATAAGGGATCAGTACTTCTATGTCATTTTTGTATGTCTGCTTCATCTAGAAGTCATCTAGAAGCCCCAGTTGGCCTTAGCAGAAAGTCTCTCACACTAAGTCTGGTTCTGCTGATGATTCGGCTTGGAGTTTTTCCTCTTGACTTTTGCTGCATACATGCTCAGTGTGAGAAACTCAAGTCCCTTGAGATGACGTGTTGTGAATTGGTGCTATATAGATAAACTGAAATAATTTTAATTAAAACAGCATTCTTTATGTTAAAAGCCAGACAGGTTCCCTACAAGGTTCTTTGTAATTCTTACATGTTTTACACATTGGTAGAATAGAAATAAGTTGGTTGTTACTTATAACAAAAACAAGAACAGAATTGCTGGTTTGTGTAAAATATTGTGCACTATTACATGAGACATCAAGCTGCTTTAGCTAATTATTTTGGACAGTTATGTTGGTTAAAGTGCAACATTGCACAACTACAGTTATTTAGCTTGAAGTTGGCATCACCAACAAATTAATCTTAGTGTAAAACTACATATGTTTTTGTTGTGTATAGATCAGTTTGATGCACGTGAAGAGTCTCATTCAGGTGGTTTTGTCACAGGCCAGTCCAAGCTTCTTCATCGCTGCTATACCAGGTGAGTCCAGTCACTCACACAGCGGCCATGCTGTAAAAAGTAAGAAAAATGCTGTAAAAGACTCAAATTTGTTCAGAGAAGGTTAAATGACAAACTTTTATCCTCCGAGGCCTATACAACAAGAAAAATAGCATCTCACTAAGCTGCTAAGCACTAAACTTTGCCGCTTAATTGCGAGGAAAACACAAATAATCATATAAAGAAAACCTCAAATATCCTTAAGCAAATCAGCAAACTCTGTCAGCGACAGAACACAACGCCATACAACAGAGTAGCGGGAAACTATAACAAAAATCAAAACAAAATGCTCCCCAATCCGTGACAGGCGCGGAGACAAATCCAATTATTCGTGTCTCATGTTGCAAATTTGTTCTAATGGTTGGAGTGAGAAAGTAAATAAACGCCTGTGAAGGAGAAACAAAAGAATGTGATTTCTAATTAACTTGAAAGAGGAACAGCAGGGCGACTTAGTAAACCCATCTTTCATCTGCAGCCTCGGACCACTCATTTGTTTGTTGCACAATGTTGTCTTCAGGATGGGTGGGTGGAGGGGGGGTGCACTGTACAGCTTCCCTCCAAATGAAATGTCAACAGATTTAACAGCGTTGAGGAAGGAGCTGCAGCGTTTCCCAGCGTTTTGTCGATTTTATTGTTCATTAAGCTCCCTCCTCCTCTCCCACTTGTTCCAGGCTTCATTTGCACCATCTTGGCTTTGAAGATCACACAAGGCTGAGGCAATAATTGGGTTTGTGCAATTACAACGAGCATAATGAGAGAATTCAGGAGTTTGTCTTAACCCTATCTCCGTAGCTCCGCCAGCATTGCCGTCAACTGTCACTTTCGGCCGCTTACTCTCTGAAGGACTCATGATGAGGGAGGATCTTATCGCTTCTGCAGATGTAGCATTCTTAGCACATACTTGCGTGATGAAGCGGCTAGATATGCTAATTGACTTTTAAAAAGAAAAAGCACAAGAGCACAGAAGATCAAGAGAAACCGCAGAGAAATCAAACACCAAGTTGACAAGATAATGACACAAACTGATCTAAGAGCTTGGAGGACATTACTGAGATCAATAGGAATGGGATGCAAAACTTGAGTGACTAATTTATATATGAATTTGAGGTTATTCTTAAAAGCCATATGCATGTATAATTTGAGTGTTTCTCCTTTGATGCTCTGGTATCTCTCAAATTTAGGCAGCAGGCAAGCAGACTGGATTCTAAGGTCTAAGGTTCTTGTCGTCTGTGATGTGGGATTGCGTAAAGTTCCTCTCTTGGTGTCAGTAATCTGCGTTATAACATTTTGGTGGATGCATTTCTACTAATGTTTTTGCCCCTCGTGACTCAGCTAATGATCTAATGTATATCATTATCTCGTGAAACATCCTTAAAAATCTATGACATTTGTTACATTTCAACAAATAAAACTGTTTTTATTCAGAATTTGATACAACATACCAACACAAAGTATAATTGGGACATGGGAGAAAAATAATAGCATTTCTGACATGCATAGAAATTTCTACATGCATATCACCCTGAGCGCAGGACAGGGTGGTGGCAGTATTATGCTGTGAGTGGGGAAGTCGGACAGAGAGGATAGGATGATGGATGGAAATGATCCTGCAGGAAACTTGTTAGAAGCTTAAAAAACTTGAGAGTGGAAACATCATTGGAATAGTATGGGATATTTAGTAGTCATGCATCCATTCTTTTTAAAAACATGATGGTTCAAGCTGGATAGAATAACTGACCTTAATGCCTACTTCTGATTAGTCCTTTTAGTGGTTCTGATAAAAGCTAACAGATAGTGATGTAGACATTCATAAATAAATACAAGCAAGCTGTTAAATTAGATTTAATCCTGTCATGGTTTACAGTATTAGCATCACAGTTACACTCTTAAAAAAAGGTATAGTCAGTCTATTTCTGTCTCCTGTTTTACAGTTTGGACTTGTGTACCTATATAGGACTCATAATTCTACTTTAAGGCACATATTTGTACTTTTTGAGTGCCTGAAAGGTACATTTTTGTAGTAAATGGTACATATATGTATTCTTTATTCATAATTTTAGGGTACACTTTCAGATGATGGATAAAAAGAAAAAGAAATTATTAGAAGGCAACAGATTCAATGTAGATTTTGCAACAAATGGCAATGCAAGAGTATTTTTAAGAAAAAATATTTACAAAATTTATTTTGAAAGCCATTCCACATCAGGGAGAGGAGACCTCTGCCTTGACATAGCTGAAGTGAGGAAAACTCTGAGGAGAATCAACCCAAGAAAGGCTCTAGGCTCCAATAACATAACCGGCCGGGTGTACAAGGAGTGTACAGGTCAGCTGGCTGGTGTCCTCACAGACATATTTAACACCTTGCTAGTCCAATTCATGGTGCCAACATTCTTTAAGTCTGCCACCATCATTCCGGTCTCAAAGAAACCTCAGGTCACCTCACCCAGTGACTACCAGCCTGTCACTATGATTCCCATCAAGTGCTTCACAAGGCTGGTTAAAGAACACATTGTCTTGAGTCTCCCACCAAAATTTTCGACCTGTTCCAGTTTGCCTACTGATAAAACCACTCCACTGAAGACGCCACCTCCTCTGCTCTTCACCCCAGCCTAGCACATCTGGAGGAGAAAAACACCCTTATGTGGATGCTGTTCCTGGACTTCAGTTCAGCTTTCAACACCATCATCCCACAGCATGTGATAGGAAAACTGGAACAGCTGGGCTTCACTACATCCCCCTGCAATTGGCTCTTAGACTTTCTCACAAACAGACCTCAGCCAGTTCGGATAGAACACCTCTGATGTCATCACCCTAAGCACAGGCTCCCCTCAGGACTGCGTCCTGCTGTTCACTCTTATGAAACACGACTGTGCCCCCAGATTCACCACCTATCACAATCGTGCAGACAATTTGCAAACGACATTACGGTGGTGGGGCTCTTGACAATGACAATGACATGAAAATGACCCGGACTACAGAGAGGAGGTGGAGCAGCTGGTGGACTGGTGCAGAGACAACAACCTGAACCTGAAGGTAGAAAAGACGAAGGAGATCATCTTGGACTTCAGGAAGAACCGGCCTAACCACGCTCCACTGGTCATCAACAGCTCAGCTGTGGAGGTGGTCAGCAGCACCAAATTCCTGAGAGTGCACATCCCAGACCTCACCTGGGCTAACACCACCTCATTGGTCAAAAGGGCACAAAAGCGCATTTCTTTCCTGTGGACAATGAGGAGAACCCACCTGCCCCACCCATCCTCACCACCTTCTAAAGAAGCACCATAGAGAGCGTTCTGACCAGCTGTCTCACTGTGTGGTGTGGAGGCTGCAGCGCCTCAGACTGGAAGAAAGTGAGAAGAGTGGTGAGAACAGCAGAGAGGATCATCGAGGCTCCTCTTCCCTCCATAAAAGACATCTCATCCCAGCGCTGCGTTTCCCGAGCCCGTAACGCTCTGAGCCTCCATATAAATGCATTTCTTTGCGCCACATTTTTTCTCCCACACTGTTTACATTTGATCACTGCTGCACTTTATAGAATGGAAATGTTCATCTACTGTCTGAAAAGCTTTACTAAACAAAATTTTGTTCTGTGTACACTCTGTGTATAATTTCAATTCAATTCAGTTTATTTATATAGCGCCAATTCACAACACAAGTCATCTCAAGGCACTTTACAGTTCAACCAGATCATACAGTCAAATTGATACAAAGTTTTCTATCTAAGGAAAACCAGTTGATTGCATTGACTCATTGACTCAAATGCAATCCCTCACACTAAAAATGCTTGTAGCGACAGTGGAGAGGAAAAACTCCCTTTTAACAGGAAGACACCTCCAGCAGAACCAGGCTCAGTGTGAGCGGCCATCTGCCGAGGCCGACTGGGGTTCAAGGAGATAGAAGCAGAGATACAAAAAGCAGCTGTAAAAGGTGGCCCCGTCCAGGAAACACACAGCCAGGCCGACGAGCACTGAGTCAGCTCCCATTTTAAAGAATGAAGAGAGCACATCCAGCCAGTCACGGTATACAAAATGACAATCAAAGTTGTAAGTGATTTTTTATTACTAATAATACTAAATAAGAAAAAATATTACAAATATTAACTTATATGAGCTGCACGGTGTGTCTCTCTGCAGGGAGTTTGCATGCATGGGTTTTCTGCGGGAACGTCAGCTTCGTCACTCCAGAAACATGAATTTTAGGTTAATTTGCTTCACTAAATTGTCCTTGAGATTAATGGTGTGTGTGCGTGTAGTTGTGTGTCCTATGTTGCCCTGTGACAGACTGGCAGCCTGTCAAGGGTCTACCGCCTTTCTCCCAGAGACTGCCAGAGAGCTCCGGCCCCACCAAGACCCTAACAGAGTAAATGGGAGAAGATGGATGGACAAATTTCTGTTTATTACTTTTCTAATAGGGTACGAGGTTGTCCCCAAAGATACAACTCTAAACTTATGAGGTACAATCTATTGGGGGTACAGATGGTTAGCCACTGTTGAGGATACAGGGTTTTTTTTACCCCAGTGACAAGCCTTTGTATTGCCTCTGAGTCTTAGAGATTGAAGCCTTGAATCTGATTTAAAATCTGGGGAAAGTATGGGATTCTCTCCGTCAATCTCAATCTAAGGATGTGCAAGGCTGGATAAACAAAGATTCTAATTGAGGCAAATTGAGGGTGAATGTATACTCCTTATTTTAGCTTCCACTGACAACAGAAGTAAGCTACGCACTGTTTTGTGTTTGGCTATCTCTACATCCTAATAAAGCCTGGTTGGAATGTAACTTATGAGATGTTCATAAGGTTTATTATTTCTGCAAACAACGGTATGGTAAAGGAAATTTCAGCGTACCTGAAATGAAATCTCTGTCTAGATTTGCATGAAGACTTACCCTGAAGGTTCATGTGTAGTCCAATGACTAACCAGGTTTGGCAGAATTACTAAACAGGAATATTCACAAGAGACACTGCTGGCCGTGCGTCAAATATAACCAGACACAATGTTGAAATTACATGTAGTGTCCATTGGGTGTAGGATTTTGGAGCTAGGGGGGATTTCCCAGCATAAGTGATAAAATAATGATCAAATTAAAGCTTATATGCCAACTAATAGTCTCACTACACAATACAATAACAGGAGATCAGCAACATTTAGCACACCCATTAGCACTTACTGGACCTAAAGCTATTAAAAACCAGTTTAAGTCTACAAAGCTACGTATGCTGTGAGTGGAGGATTTTTTACTGGCCAAGACAATTATTGTGAAACTCACACATTAATCACTTTCTAATAAGAAACTCACTTGTTATAAACTTCAAGGAAATTCCCACTTAGAGATAGTTTGATGAATAAGAACCAAAGAGGGTTCAAAACATTATAACTGTGATTTTTTTTCTCATTAAGTTATATAACACCTACCTGGATAACAGTGTCCTAATGCAATTATTGAAACAGAAGTTAATTGGAGTTTTGGTAGGGAGGGTATTTGTTAAGAGTTGCCTTTTATTTGCAATATGTAATATTACATTTTGGTATGTTTTATTTAATTTGAGGGGTTTTGAAGTGGAAGTAATAAGCCTGTGGTGCTTCATTACTGAATACTTTAAGCTAAATCGTGTAGTGTGCCATTTGAATGTAGACATCAGAGTTCTCTGTGCTTGTGTTTTACCCACTGACCTGTATATCTGCAAGTTCTGCTGCAATCCTGGAAGACAGTGAAGGCTTCTCCAGACAGGGTAACTGCAAAATCTAAGACACACAAGTTTAAATGATGTTAAATCACATGTTAATGGAAGAATATGAACAAACTTTAAGAGTTTTTTTGTTTTTGTTTTTCAATGTAAACAGAACTTCCAGCTACATATGAAGTGATTATTTCTCATAGTTGATAGTAAATCGAAATTTTAATGATAAGATTTAAGGACATGCAATCCCTGTCCAAAATTATAAGAATTGAAATAAGGTATCATATTTTTTTTGTAGTTGAGTTTCAATCTCAGAACTACAGAATAAGGGCCACTCAAACAATAAAAGAAAGTTAACTGATTGTTAAATTTTATTTCAGTCTAATATGGGAAAAAACGTCTAAAATTTGTCTTTAATCTCAGAATTATGACTTTTTTTGCCCTAATCATAATCCTCTTCCGTACACATCTCTTCCTTCATGGTCAGAATTCTGAGATTAAAGTCAGAATTCTGGCTTTTTCCCATATCATACTAAGAGAATATCTAAAAATCAGTTAACTTTTTTTTTTCTTCAAAGGCCATAATCCTAATCCTCTTCTATACACATTTCTTCCTTCATGGTCAGAATTCTGAGATTAAAGTCTGATTTCTGAGATTAAAGTCAGAATACTGACTTTTCCCCATATTATACTGAAATAAAATTTTAAAAATCATTTAACTTTTTTTATTTTTGTAGTGGTCCTAATCCTATTCTTCCTCCGTACACATCTCTTCCATCGTGGTCAGAATTCTGAGAATAAAGTCAGAATTCTAACATTAAAGTCAGAATTCTGATATTTCCTGAAAGAAAATTTTAAAATCAGTTAACTTTTTTTCATTTTTTCAGTGGCTCTAATCCTCTTCCGTACAGGTTTTCTCTAAAAAAAAAAACAAAAAGCATGTTGAAAAGCTGAAACAAAAGCTGACACAAACTCTTTAAAAAAATCTATTCTAAATACACTGGGGAATAATATTGAGCAGCTAAAAACTGCTGTTCTGTAATTACTAAATATTTCCTCAAACTAATAGTCAGAAGTGCAAGAAGCTGAAATCACAGATTTCATTTTCGGTTCAGCTGATCCAGCAGGGTTCCCCTACTACTTAAAAACACATATCATGTGCTAACTTTGAGGGGCTTAAGGGCTTACCTTTTTTCCCCAGTTGACCATTTATTTTGTGCAAAAAGTCTCCCTCAGGGTCTCCCTTACCTTTCCTTGGTACATAATGTTTCCTACGGGGCAGATCCTGCAGGCAGTGCCTGAGCCAAACATTTCTTTGAGACGCTGCTGCTTCAGAGCCGAGCACAGCTGCTTCATTGTCAAGTATCTCTCTAACACCTTGAACTCATCCTTCAAAGTAGAGAAAAAGCAATTCAGGAGATGGGAATGCTGACTTTAGGGGTTTCGCAATGAGCATTAATATTAGAAAGGATTGTTGGTGGTAAACATATTGTCAAATTCAGTTTTAAAATTGATGCTTTTTCTCATTAAAATGCTCTAATTAAAAAAAAGGTCATTTAAATCGTACCCATTTTTTTGTCAGTTCAAGGATGCTCTGCCGAGTGACGCCTGGAAGGATGATGCCATCTAGAGGTGGAGTTGCAAGTTCCTCCTCTGATTGCAAATGTTGGATTATTTTAGAGAAACTAAAATGCTAAAGAATATGGAGTAAATCTCCACTAACCTCCATCCTCATTGATCCAGTGCAGAAAGATGTTCATGGTTCCTGCTTCAGTTATCTGGTGGTCCTCCCCGTACAGCCATAGCACCTGCTCACAGCCATGACTTCCTGCCTCATATTGTGCAAACAGAGTCCCTCCATAATTCCTGCAGAAAATCCAAATCAATTATTATAGTTAAACTTAGACTTTTCATGACAAAGAGAATAAATTATATTTGAACCAACCCTCCCATTTTGCAGTCTCCAGTTCCTCCTTTCCAGGCCCGTGTGTACTTTGGGTCAGCCCACAGAGACAGGGCCTTCCCCTCAGTGTTAAAGTATGAGCCAGCTTGACACAAAATGACATAAAGCAAGGCGCGGGTCGGCTTCTTAACTCCCAGGGAAGGCTGCCATGTTGACAGAAACATGCAGAAATAAGCTATTTAGATCACAGAAAACATTTACAGTTTGAAGGAGCCTGCTGACCTCAGTGCCGATAAATGTTGGCCTTATATACAGACTGGAGGACTCGGAACATGGAACCCAGTCCTGGTCGATTTCTACAAGCCTCCTGATGCACTCCAGCAACTCGGACTCATCAAAGGCCTTTTTGTACAAAAGTAAACAGAACAACAGCACCATTCATATATCTGAATTTCCCATTATTTTAAGTTTAAATAAATATTTTTATTGAGCCTTTTTCTTTCTTTTGTGCATCTTACGGGAAGACAAGCTCTGTTCGCTGACTTTGCCATACGGCTCATATTCATCAGGGGTCTGAAGAGACGGAGGCGGTTGTCATCGCCTCGGTACACCATCAAGCCTTCAAACAGCTCCCAGGAAGAAAGAGAATGTTGAACATTGTTTTAAAAAACTATCCAGTCTTAATAGATTATGAAAAAAGAAAAATGTTTTCTTCGTTGTCAAAATGCTTGCAGTACTGTTCAAAAGAATTCAGACCCCTCTTTCACATTACATATACATGTAGATGTTAAGAAGCTGACCTCTTTGGCTGTTCTTTACAAAGAGTGGATAAGGATGGTCATCAAGGGAAGACAATGTAAATTTTTAAATGTTTTAAAAGATACTTCACTGAATTTAGGTCTTGACTTTGACTAGGCCATTCCAAAAGCAATATATGTTGATCTAAGCAGGGGTCTGCAGGCACAACTATTTTATAGAATTTTTAATAAAAACATAGCTTATAATTATTTTTAATATCTGATATAGTTAATATCTTGCCATTTTAAACAATAAATGGCTCATTTGTATTTTTAGCTTTTAGAATAAGGAAAAACAGAAAACATTTAATAAAGATGAAGATGACAAGAAAAACTTTTCCTATTAATGTCAATGTTTAACATTCTGTTGTGAAAATGTAATCAAATATTCTTAAAGAAAAAAAAGCTCCTAAGACTGGTATTTGTTTATATTATACATTATCTGCCTCCTTATATCACTTTAGGCCACTTTTGAGAGCCAGTTAAAAGATACGAAGAGCCACTTGTAGCTCTGGAGCTGTAGGTTGCAGACCCCTGATCTAAAGTTCTCCAGTTTATATGTAGCTTTGTTGTTATTTCGAAAGAGGAACTCTTCCCCAGTTTCTAACATGGCCAACTTTATAAAAATGTTAAACCATTTAAGGAGTGTGAATACTTTTGCAAGTCTGTTTACCTGAATGCCATAATGTAGTGATGAGCAGGCTGGGTGCAGTGAAAGGTTCCCAAAGGGTCTAATGAGGGGAGTCTGCCAGCCCTCAATGGCGTTCCACTCTACAGTCAACATGTGGTCAGTGAAGACCGTCCCAAAGTCGACAACATCTGGTTTCATTTTTGGAGTGGAAGAGAGCTGGATGATGAGGTCTGCTGCCTGATAAGACAGGAAAGAAGAACAGATAAAAAGTTTCTGTCTACTTGAATGCCGGTCGGCCTCGGCAGATGGCTGCTGGAGGTTTCTTCCTGTTAAAAGGGAGTTTTTCCTCTCTACTGTCGCTTCAAGCATGCTTAGTGTAAGGGATTGCCTTCGAGTCAAAGAGTCGATGCAATCAACTGGCTTTCCTTAGATAGAAAAATTTAAAAATTTGACTGGATGATCTGGTTAAATTATAAAACGAATCGAGATGACTGGTGCTATATAAATAAACTGAATTGAATTAAAAATCCAAAGCTTCAATATAGAATTGTTCTAGATTTTTCATTTAGTTTAGCAAATATTATAGATTTAGAATGGATATAGTTTTTGATGGCAAATACTGCCATCAGCAGATTAACTGAAGTTTGTTCTGTGTTTGCTTTTGGAGGGGGGGATCGAGGAGCAAAACAGTGAGTAAAATATTGGTCTAAAATCAACAAAAGATCATATGTTGTGAAAGATAAAAGATAAGGGGGGATTGCTGCGGTTTCCTGCTGTTTTCCAAGGCCGAGTCCTGTGATCCCACTTTGAAAGAGACACCTCCAGCTGGCCAGCCGTCAGTTATCTGCTAGGATTAGGCTGGCCCTTCATCTTCTCCCTCCTGGTGCAGGAGGTTGCTTGCACCCTAATCCCAGATTACAGTAGAGTACTGCGCATGTAAGGAATCAGTGAGTGTACTGGTGCTGCCTTCCCACACGGCCTCTCCGTTCTAAAGAAAATGCCTCAGAGGAATCATGCTCAGATGTACCTACATAAATATTCACTTCTTCTATTCACAATCAAGCAAACAGAATTCCATGCAGTCATGCTAATCTATAACTGCAGTCCATCCAGAGTTTGGCCTAGATTATGTGACTCTAATTATTAGCTTTGATGTGTATCTCTAAAGTGTAAAAGAGAGTGTAGTGGCATTAAATCGGTTTGGAGGTTATGTTTAAATTGTGCAAACCAGTCAAATATATCAAACATGCAGAAAATAGCTCCAAGAAAAGTATAACAGTATTATTGTTTTGGGTTTTTTTTGTAATAGTACTTCTATGGGGTGAATTATATAAGAGAAACATTACAGTGTAATTGGTAAGTCAAATGATGTTAATAGAGGGCGACGCTCCTTTAGCTTTAGCATCTTGATCATCAAGATCTGTGTTGTTTCTTAACATAAACGTACTAAATGTCCAATTTTCAGTAAGTGGAAATATTCAATTTGGATTTCAATCCAAAAAATGTCACACAGATCTAAATTCAACAGAGTTAAAGGCTGAAATGAAAACACGCAGAACCAAAGTCAATGCTTCTCCTTGGGAGAGCATGTCTCTGTGAGTGTCTGCACATGTCTAATCTCTACCTGAGCCTGCTGTTCATTGCCCAGACGTTCAGGGTCAGAAAACATGCAAAGCTCCAGCGACTTAGCGTGAGCTGGGAAAGTGGATTCTGCTGAGCAGGTTGCAGAGGAGCAACAGGAGGGCAGGGAGAACAATAGAAACCTGCTCCACATATCAAAGGACGGGCGATGACTAAAATCTGCATGAAGCTGGAAGCTGAATCACATGCTTGAAAAAAAGAACCTGCATAGAGGGCCTTAATTTCTTAGGATTAGCTTCTCACCTGTTTGTTATCACAATAGGAGGACAGTTGACAGTGGCTCCTTAATCCTATACAGGGCTGCTCTGGGCAACATGAGGGCAAGCAGCAGACAGGAACTATCTTCCATGTTGATCAACAGGGGGGATTTTTGTGTGTGAATGAGCCAAAGAACCATGAAGATGCAACACTTGGAGCTTCCAATGAGGGTAAGTGAGTTGAATTCATACTCATAATAACTGTTGGGCAGAGTTCACTAAAATCACTTTCTATCAAAGAGGTTTGCAGGATAGGTTTCTTACCTTAAAGCTGTTAATTCTGCTGTGGGCCATGATGGCAGTGAACCGTTTCTCCCCTAAAAGAAAACTTTTGCAGATATCTGATTGTAAATAGTTGTATTAGGTGCATCAACACATAAGTGATATGCTGTTTCTAGGTTATGCATATGCATATTTACATATTTTTTACATACATATATTTACATTTTTAATATTCCATACGATAGGCAGAAAAAAAATGCATATTTAGCATAAAAAAAAACACAATTGGAACATCTGGAATTTAGTTCAAACTTAAATGCTCGTCTTTTGTTATTAAAGTGAACTCAAATATTAATTATATTTATTTTGATCCAATGAGAAGCATCTCTTTAGTTGAAGTCCAGATATTTTTAGTTTACCTTCAGAGCAGAAGATCCGTCACAGCCTCAGGGGTTGTGGTGAATGAAACAGCATCTGAGAGGTAAACCGCTTACTGGTCCCTCTTGGGGGAAACACTTGACATTGTTGTGATGGTTACGTTTAGAAAGAAAAAAAATTCTGCCTACTCACTTAAACCTACCGTATTTCAATATAATTTAGTTGCATCATCACCTAAATACCTGACATTGTCTGTAAGGTTGTAGAGAGGTTACAAGTTTAAGCTTAATCTACGTCAAGGATTAAGGACAAAATGTTGGAAACATATAGTAATTAACTAATTAAGAATTTGATTGCAGATGTTACAGTTGTTACATTCATGCTGATTTTTGCACAGTTTTCTGCCTTGGTCATTTAAATGAAATACTGCTGTCATTTTTGCACACCCTAAAAATTTCCACAACTGTATACTGATTATTTATTTTCCAGATACAGAGTATTTATATGGTAAAAACACTGTACTGTGTAGCATTTTATTTGTTTATTTTAGTAACTCTGTCACTTATCCTGTTATTTTTATACACTTTTTTTTAAGGGCCACATTTGTGTGACCACATTTGCTATGATATTTTCCTGCTGAAACACCACAATTTCCCCATTGTGGGTCAATAAAAGGATTTTTGATATTTGCTATTCTATTTTTCAGATAGTAAGTGTTGCTTTTGAAATTAATTTTGAAAAGTTTTTTTATTTATTTTTCTTGTTTAAATATCTATAAGGTTGCCAATTCTGTGAAAATTAAATAAGGGGCACCTTTTGACCAGTCATTGTCTTCCACCTTACTGACTTTATGAATTTATTTGCTTTTTATGGTGTGTTATTTAATTTTGTAAACATTTTAATCCAATGTTAATTAAGTTAGATTTTCATATTTTTTTAAATGGGACATTTCCTTTTTTTTTCTTAGTTTGTTTGGCAGAAAACACCATAATTACCGTTTAAATATGCAAATTTCCTTGGGTGTAATGTCTAAGTAAAACCACAGGGAGGAGCTGTTGACTGATTTTCAGAACCAGGTTTTAGTTCCAGCTCCCCTGAGCGCCGATGTACATGTGCGCGCTCACGACGTGTCTGTGAGGACAGTTTATCAAACATTTCATCGTTTCTTTGTGGATATTTGCGTGCACGAGACAACGAAGGTAATAAAATAAAGACGCATAAGGGGATATTTTAAGAAAAGGGGTGTTCTATGTTGCTATTTTCTATGTCTGGATAAAACTATTGAGAAAATTAGAAAAATAAGTTGAGACGTCAAATTTGCTCGAAGGACGAACGGTGGAAAATTTTATTTAGTAAGACGCTCGTCTTAAAGGTATGATATTTGATTTAAAAAAAAGAAAAACGACTACAATAAAACAACAAAAAGAAAAAAAAAATCCAAATATTTTAAGAGAAAGAATCCGGTCAGTTAATTAGCGGATTAAATGCGCACCTGTTCGGGATGGGGTGTCAGAGAACTTGCCAGGTTTGAGAAAACAACAATGAATTCAATTTAACCTTTTTATTTTCTCTGTTTGTATCTCCTGTTTTTTTTTTTCTTCTCATCTCGGGTATGTAGCCTATTTTTCAAACCTAACTTGGTCCTATCCAGGAAGCATTGCTGCTTAAAAAAGCAACAAAGAAAATAAAACAAACAAACAAACAAAACGTCTAGGATCAGATATTCAATGTGAAGATAATTTGTTGTACAAGTTTGTTTTTTTCCACATGTAGGTCACAAAACAGAGAAAACCAGAATTATACCAGGCTGAAAAAAATTAGTTGAAAGAAATAAGAAAGAAATTAGTTGCCTTTGACAAACATTAAAGCAGTTGGGTTTTTAAAGTACATTAAAGCTGGGAAAGTTTATTCTGGGCTGATCATTGATATAAATTCCACCACTGAGGAGGGAAATCTAGCCAACTATAAATATTAAAAATTAATCAATATGTATTAAAATAACTTTATACATTAAAATCAGAACCACGCTGAGTCTGGTTCTTCTGGAAGTTTCCTCCTGTTAAAAGGGAGTTTTTCCTCTCCACTGCCACCACAAGCATTCTTAGTGTGAGGGATTGCCTTAGATAGAAAACAGAATCAATTTGACTGTATGATCTGGTTGAATTGTTTTGTGTTATTAATTGGCGCTATATTAATTAAACTGAATTCAATTAAAGTGTCAAGACTTGCATTGTGCAATTTCTCACGAGCCATGTGGTTTCTGAGGGGATATAACTGATAATTCTGTGCTGTAGCTTTATTGCAACTTTTATCAAATGAATCAAATGTCTTCTTTTTACAATATTGATTATTTCTGGAAGGATAACTTTCCTTCTATAATTGATCAATCTTCAAAATGGTTAGTCTTGTATTTTTTTCTCCAATAAGCAGGTAAGTGAGACACTTTGCCATTGGAAAAAGACAATTTACATCTAAATTAAGGAAAAAAGAATTGCATTGTCTTATTTTGAATTAATATTATCTAATTGTCTTTAAGGGTAAACATCATCATTCTATTGGCAGATTATCTTATTTTCCAGCCCAAAATAAGTGTAAATACACTTATTTTAAGAAATGTTTACTTATTTTCAGAACTTTTTACAGTGATGTTCTGCAAACATCTTTTCGCTCTGTGCTTCAGAGAAGAAACGTTGGCTTCTTTTAAATGTCAAGGCAACAAACTTTAGCATGTTTTTCATTTTAGAAACTTTAACCTGATTATTTAATTTTTGCTTTTATGTTTACCAAACTTTAAATTCTGTTATTTTAACTTGAAATGCTGTTCTTTTGTTTTAAAGTAGAGATGAATGAGAAAGGCTAACAATGTAATAACAAATATTTTAACTCCTGATTAAAAAACATATATATATATATATGTATATACATTGTATCTTACTGGAGGGTATTTATCATTTACATTTTTACCTAACCATCTTGTTTTAGGGGAAAATTCAGTATGAGTTTTGAACATTAAAACCTTTACCGTTGCTTCAAGTTGCAAATGCTGAGCTAACTAACCACTAGGCCACTTTATGATGATTCCAATTTCTCACCACTGGTAACTTAAGTATAGGTCAACTTTGAAGTCTATATTGTAATTGTACAGAGCGAGTGCTGTTTTGAATGGCAGCATCTCTTTGGCATCAATTTATATTGTTAGAAGCTAACATTAAAAGAAAATTGAGTCTCTGACTCAAAGGCCAACTCCAAAAGTTGTTTTTCCTGCATTTCACAGCAAAAAACATGAGTGTTAGTTGATTTTTCCTACCTTTTGAAATAAATAACTCATAGCTATAAGTACTGGCAACTCACTTGATAAAATGCAATATCGCTACTACCCTGTTTTTCTGAACCATCGACCCAATGTTTAAACTTAATTTCTGATTTTTACACAACAACAATTATTGTTCAACTCAAAATAGGATTTTTTTAGTCTTCTGACATTTTTTCATCCACTGCATTTATTTCCTATGCTGTTTTTTTGATCATTCACAAACAATCCCGTGCCTACAGCTCTAACTTCTGAGGTAAAATGTGGTTATATTGACTGAATGTAGAAGTTTAAGGCATATAAATATTTTTGCAAAGCATTGTGTGCATATTATCTATTAAGCAGCTGCTTACCCTGATGGTTATGCATTTAAAAAAATAGATATTTTCTTTTTCCATCCTGTCAGACCTCACCCTCTCCTCCAGTAAGGAAGTCAACGCTACCACTGGAACATGAGCAGAATGGACTGTTGCACACCACAGCCCTCACGTCGACACAACCCTGTGGACAGCATTTGCCGCAAGCTGCAAACCATTCAGTGGCGTGGTGACCGAGAGCCCAATTCGCCTTTCCAGATTCCCAAACTCTCTTCCAGCAGTTACGACAGCCCTCAGTCCGGACTCAGGCACAACCTGGAAGCCATCCTTAAAAAAGGAGCCTTCGTCAGAGACGAGGAGGAAAAGCTGAAAGCGATGGGGATGCCGAGCTCTGCAGCTTCCCACAGCAGTGGCCTTGGTTCCTACCACCCGCTCACTACTCCTGACTGCAATCGTTCAACCCCAGCTAATGTCACCTACACAATCACAAGCACTCTAGGAGAAAGACGAGGTGCTGATGGGAGTGATGTTAAACAATTTAAGGCATGGCAGAGGTATTGTTCAACACCTACGGGTCATTCTAGGGACTCCCCTTATTTTACATTCACACGCGGACCAAACTCCACACAGTCAGAGTACAGCAGTCAGAGAGCGAGTCCTCCTCAATCCCGTACCTTCACCCCGGGTAACAGCACGCTCTCCTACAACGTCAACTTCTGCTCTGCAGATAGAACCAACTCTGCTGATTGTGAGCTGGCCTACCCTGCCCTGGTCGTGAAAAGACTTTCCATGGGAGAAGGAGGTAGGGTCGTTTTAGAATTGTGCTCATTTTTATTTTAGGTTTTTAATTTATTTTCATGGTTAAATATTTTTATTTTCCACAGTGTCTGTTGAACTTTTCAAAAATGTGTTTGTGTTAAAAAAAAATATACTGTCACACAAAGAATTCAACTTTACTTGAACTTTTCATAAAACTGGAATGTTCGGAACAAAGCTGAACAACCAAACGCCAAACCAGAAAGGTTCTTCTTAGAGTAGGGTTGTCAAAAGTATCAATACTCAAAAAAGTATCGATACTGAAACATTGTATCCGGATACAATACTCGTTTTTAAAAGTATTGATACAGTGCCACCACCAGTGCCACCTAAGCAGTCATTCATCTAAAGTGCAGAATAGAGGACAATGCACTTTCTGAAAACTGTGTGATTGAATAATTCTGTGCACTTTTCAGTTTCAGACTTTTTTTTGTAAGAGGTGCAGCTGCGGAGAACACTTAATTTTAATTTTATAAGTTTTTTATCAAGCTTGCTTAATATTGTGCTTAGCATACAACCTCAAAATATTGTTCTTATTGTTTATTGTATTTATTTATTGTATTTTATTTATTAATGAAAATATTTCTGTAGAGTTTTGGAGTCTTTGTTTTTATCCTTGTGGTATCGAAAAGGGTATCGAGTATCGAATATTTTCCTTAGTATCGGTATCGCGTTGAAAAGTTTAGTATCGTGACA